AGACGAGGAATAACAATAATGAAGAGAATCATTCAAGATAGAGATCGAGGCATAAAGTATGATGTGTATTGGAGTCAATAAGGACAACTAATTGAGTCTAACGGTTCAATGTTGACGAGTTATCTTAGTTCGGTGGTAAGGAGAGAAATTCCAATTACTTGTGAAGATTGGAGAGCAATAGTGTTGTACGATGCTAAAGATAAAATATGGAGTGAGATACAGGTACCATTTGTGATGTTATTTGTTGTTAATGACGATTATGTCTTTAAATTACTTATACTAACGCACTTTGTGTATGATTTTCGTAGAGGTCGTTCAACATTGAGGATACCAGGAGAGATTATATACTCAAGTTGGCCGGAAAATTATATAGAGGGTTTAGAGCTTTTTTATCAAACAAGTTTCTTAGGGATGCGGATAAAAATTTTGTTGATACAGAGCTTCCAAATAAATATAAAGATTTGATTACACCTGAAGAATGGGAAACTTTTAAATCCAAAAGAAAAACCCAGAAATTTGAGAATTTAAGTGTCGTAAATCGACAACGAGCATCAAGTCCCGCATATCCATACAGAAAAGGGCGTATGTGATATGCGCGCTTCAACAATCTATTGTAAGTATCTATAAATTGCAAAGTATCTATAATATATGCACACTTATATTTGATCATGTTATTTGGCTTAATGTGTAGTTAATAAAGGATAATAGTTCTGAAACATCTCTTCCGGAACATGTTTTGTGGAAGGAAGCCCGTGTGTGTAAGGATGGAGCTGTTACAGAAAATGTTCAACAAATTTTCGAGAGATGTGTAAGTATAACATTATTTGTTTAATTAAATCATTCTTTTATTTATTTAATTACATCATTCTTTTATTAACATATCATTCTTTAATTACAATATTCATATGAATTTCAGGGGACTCTTTCTCAGTCTATATCTCCATATGAAGATAATGATTGTAGGAGAATACTTAGTCGAGCGTTAGATATTCGTGAGTATTCTGGTCGGGTGAGGGGTAAGGGATTTGGGATCACTCCAACATCCTTGAAGAAAAAATCAAAGACAAAATCCCCTAGCAATAAAGAACTTCAGGAAAAGTTAGAAAAGTTACAACAAGAAGTTTATGAGCAGAGAAAGGAAAAAGAAATAGATCAAGCTATAGGTTTTAAAGATACTAGTGACAAATGTAGTATCAATGGTAACTTTGGACCGAATATTCCAGAGGTAATTATATACCATATTTATTAATTATATAACCATATTTATTAATTATATAACCATATTTATTAATGGTTATAGGGCATTTCCCAGTGTCAACTCTATTTGTCGTCACCGACTTATCGGATGGTTGGAAAGGGAAAAGTGTATAATACTACGGGAGAAATGCTTCACCATAAACCACTCCCAAATAGATTTTTAAAAGTATCGATTGATGTTTTTTTAGAGGTGCGTATGTTGTTACCACTACCTGACAATATGGCGGATGCAACATTGGTGGCAGATGCAATAGGATCATTTGTTGCATGACTGTCAAGCCTCGTTTGTGTAGATGATGAGGTATGCTTAAAACCGTTTACTATTCAAATTTTTTAAGGAAATTTTACTTACATTTTGTTTACATGGTAATGTTAGACTCCAACAAAATCCAATCCAAAAGATAAGGGGATTAGGCGGGAAACCGAGTCAGTTGCATCAATTGAGGTACAACACAATTATATGACATTTATGCTATAAAAATGATAATTTATGATTTTATACTTCACCTAAATAATTATATGATAATTAGATTCATGCTAAAGAGATTGCACAAGTCAGTAGGGATAAGGTTCCTGAAATTAGCAATATTTCCACACAAAAAAAATGTTTCTAAGAAGACCGTGGCTAGTAAAAAAACTACTGCTTAGTTCAGGTCGTGCCTTCGGACATATTTAGGAATAACAGATATTCCGGATGGTGGTACTCGCCTTATACCTATGAGTGCATCTTTGGTTTTGAATACCTAGAAGCTATTGGTAGAGAGGATATGGAGCAAGTTTTTAGACATTTGGAATTAAGCCTCGGTGTTATCGGTACATACATCAGGTATACTCCGATCAACTTTGTTTAATTAGATGAACATTTTATTTCCTCATTTCAATGAATATAGTATAATGTTAATGATGTTTTAATTTAAGGTTTCTGTATGACAATATTGTGCACCCGCATGGATTAGAAGCAAGATTTGGCTTCTTAGCTCCCAACACTGTCAATTCAGGGTTAATCGTAACAAGACTACATGATGTCATAGCATGTGTACTCGGTTTATTCGTGGCCAGCAAAGATACTGAAAAGTTGTTCTTTTTGCCATATAATACTGACAACGAGTTAGATTTTCATCCTAACTTGATCTATTATAATTTTCCATTTTTGGCCATTGTTTAATCTTTGTTTAATCTTACAGTGGACACTGGTTATTGGTTGTGATTAATCCTGTAAAAGATACTGTGTATTATCTGGATTCGTTATACAATGATTGGTCAACATATCCAGATTTGAAGAAGATGATTGACACGTAAGTTTTTCGCTCCCAAAGATATATATCTGGATTTGTGTTTATGTTTATGTTTCTATGTGAGATTGTTCTAAACAGTCGTTTATATTATAGTGTTCTACTAGCTTTTCACTCCCAAAGAGATATTCAAGTGCCAACAAGTAGAGCCACCAATGTTACATGGATCAGAGTGGAGGTATATTTTCACAAAGAGATATCAGTTTTGATTACATTAGTGATGATACTTGATAAAACAATTTAAGGGATATATCCTGATATATATTCGTATTTTCTTTCCATGTGTAGTGTCCTCGCCAATGTAACGGTATAGATTGCGGCTATTTCATGTTGAGGTTTATGAAAGAAACTATTCTTTTGGGTCGATTAGAGATTCCATCCACGGTATGGATTTCTAACTTAGAAATTACACATTATTTTCATATTTTGTGTTTCTCATAAAATAACATATTGTTTTAACTAAATCACATACTATATTATATTATTGTATATGTAGTATTTTAGGGAATTCAATTATGCACATTACTCAAAAGATCAATTGGATGAACTTAAAGAGGAATGGTGTCAATTCATTATCGGGTTGAGAATTTTATAAGCTAAGGTATATTGTCTTATTTCCTTTGATGAGAACTATCGAGTTTTGAGTATAAAATAAATTCGAATAAAGTGAAACATTAATATTATCATGTAATGAATTTTGATCATTTGGTTATTTTTTCCAGGTCTATAGGTGCGTGTGTAGAAGATAGAGCTAAGATATTCGTGTTGTTGTTGTTTTATGAGAATTCTCGAAGATAGTAAGATGTAGATGTAACATCAATTTTGAATTTTAGGATTTTCAACTTGTAGAATTTTAACTTGTATCATAAATTTTGCAGTTGTTGTATATATCATCAATTTATATATATGTGGAATTTTTATATATGCATATTTTATTGAAATGAAACTACCAAATATGGTGCATATTATGGTTAAAACCTGATTCAAATATGGTTAAAATCTGATTAAAATGCATTATATATATTGGACAGTGATTTTGTAAGTCAAAATAAGTATTTTATTTTTAAAAAATTGTGATCAATAGACAACGCTTTAAGAGAAAAGCGTTGTAAAAAGTCAAAAAAACACTGCCTAAAGTGGAAAGCGCTGTCTAAAGTCTAACTTAAAAAATAACATAAAGCGCTGTCTAAAGGGGTATATAAAAAAACATTGTCTATTTTAAAAGCGCTGTCTAAATGGGGATGCTTAAGAAAGCACTTTTAATGAAAAAGCGCTGCCTAAAGTGGGCATAAACAGCACTTTTACATTGAAAAAAAACATTGTCTTTACTTTTAGCAGTGCTGCTTTAGGCAGCACTTTTAAGCGTTGTTAAATGCCAAAAAAAGTGTTGTCCAATGTCTTGTTTGACATAGTGAATCAAATATTTGAGACTTCAGGTGCGTTTGATTTGTTAAAAAATGGGGGATTGGACAATATAACTCTAGTTGTCTTGCGTTTGATTTAAAATTTATTTATCGGACAAGACAAAAATCAGGATTAAAGATATTAATCAACAAATTTTTTTACCATTTTTTAATTTTATTGTTGAATTCATGTATTCTACCCTATTTTGTCCATTTTACTTTCGTTTTCTATATTTATCTATGTTTCAGATGATTTTGAGGAATCACAGCCAAAATATAGCACACTAAAAATCTAAATCTTGAAGTATCGAAGAAGAACAAGAAAAAACAAAAAAAAAATTGACAAAAAAACATATAAAATTACGGCCAACCAATAACTTGTGTTGCGACCGTAATGTCACACATGAAGTAGAAGAATTTTCTAGACATCGTATTATTAGTAATCTTTTCTAAGATTTATTTTTATGTAATTTCGATCTCCTGACCTATGGCTTATTAGTATCTACCTATGGCTTATTAGTATCTAAACCTTAACTATATATTGTATGATCTCTCCTTATTGAAGAAGAAATAAAAATCTAAAAAGTTATTTCTTATGTTTTAATTTTCTTATACAATTTAAATTTATAGTAGCTTAGTGTGACCCAAAGCATGACAAAACAAATTATGATCAATGCATGCCTATAATCTGCAGCGAATTCGAATTTGGTTTCGGGATCCCAACTTAAAAACATAAACAATATACTATAATATTAATGTAACTATTGATACGCGCATTAGAGTTTCCTCCACCTCATATGCACCTGAACGCAAAAACAAAACAAATCAATTTTTCCTGTCCACATAATTAAATTCTAGTTAATTCAAAAACGTATAAGCCTATAAACAATCTAAAAATCAAATTTATACACCTCCATGAATCAAGTCAATGCATGCATCCATCTGTTGAAAACAAAAAAACATGACACAGTTTCATGACTGTTGCTACCTATATATAACAAATGTTACAAGTTACAACAACAAAGACGTGCAAATTAAGAAAAATAAAATGGAAGAGGGGAATAAGGGAGGTGAAGAAGTAAAGTACAGGGGTGTAAGGAGAAGACCATGGGGAAAATATGGAGCAGAGATTAGAGACCCTACAAAGCCAACTGGAAGACAATGGTTAGGAACATTTGACACAGCTGAGGAAGCTGCTAGAGCTTATGATCGTGCTGCCATTCGTTTGAAAGGTGCTCTTGCCATTCTCAATTTTCCTGATGAATACCATCTTCATCTTTCTTCTTTATCGCGGCTGTCGTCATCGTCGTCGTCTTCTAATGTTGCCTTTGGCAGCAGTTCTTCGCGACAGCAAAATGAAATAATCGAGTTTGAGTATTTGGATAACAAGGTTTTGGAAGATCTTCTTGAATCGTCTAAAAAAGAGAATGATGGTTGACATTGATCTGTGCGAATTTGTTAGCAACAATGCCTGGACTCATAATTAGACTACATTTTCAGAGGCAATATTCTAAACTTGTATTTGTTTTTAAATTTTTTTTAAAGTTCACAACGGACTCTTGAAAAATCTTAGTGTGAGTTTTTCTCCTTAATATTATTAACTTTATTGAATAATAAATTGAGGGATAATGATAATAAGTGTGTAACTTATAGAGTGTTTTGGAGAATCTTGCGTCGACGGCGTTGTTGTTTGACAATGTTGGAAATTTATCGAGTGGTCGGAGTAGGATTTTGGATTGGCGGAAGTAGTAAAGATTTCGGTCGAGGTCTTTAGCTTCGCGGTGTGAACTTCCCATCGCAATCTGGGTGTTCTGTCAACGTGCAGCGGAGCTCGGTTGAGGTATCTCCGTCGGACTAAGCTGCTCGTCACAGAGTGGAAAATTGCCTTTCGTCTATGTTTAGGAGGTTGTGCTTGTACCTGAGCACGTCTCTGTAGTCGGGGTGTGTCCCCTTCTCGTTGAGAGGGACACGCCGACTGTTAAGGCCTTAATTGTAATATTGTTTCAACTTCTCGGTGTTCCATGGTCGAGCAAGTTCTTCCCCGTTAAGATGTTCGAGGTACTAGGTCATGTTTTCCGTTTTTGCTCGGACGCGATAAGGGCCTTCTCCTTAAGACTATGCTACCGACTTCGAATTCTCATCGTATAACTTTGGTGTTGTAACGTATGAAAAAAAATTATTTTAGCGAGGCTTCTCGAAGGGATGCTCCTGATCGAACTTCTTCGACAAGGTCGAGCTTCTCTCTTAGTGCCCCGTCGTTCATCTCCTAGTCGAGAGAGGCTTCAGTCTGCCTAGAAGGCTCTCTAATTTCGACTGGGATTACTGCCTCGGTTTTGTACGCTAGTCGGAACAGGGTTTCCCCGGTACTCGAGTGAGGGGTTGTTCGGTAGGCCTAGAGCAAGTTGTGTAGCTCCTCGACCCACTTCTTTTTGGTTTCGTCTGGCCTTCGTTTGAGGCCTCGTAGGATCACCCAGTTTGCAGCTTCGGCCTGCCCGTTTGTTTGTGGATGCTCGACAAATGCGAAGTGTTGGGTGGTGCCCAGCTTGGCGATGAATTCCTAAAAATTTCTGTCTGTGAACTGTGTCCCGTTATCGGTGGCGATTGCTTGGGGTATGCCAAATCGGGAAAGTATGTTTCGCTTGTAGAAACAGAGTATGTTTTGTAATGTGATTTTGGCCAGTGCCTCTGCTTCTATCCACTGTGTGAAATAATTCACGCCTACTATCAGGTACTTGTTTTGGTTTGATCCTACGACAAATGGTCTGAGGATATCCATTTTCCACCATGCAAAGGGCCACGGGGATGAAAGAGTCTTGAGCTCGTTGGGCGGTGCCAAGTGCATGTCCCCGTGGCGTTGGCATTTATCATATTTTTTCACGTGTCCTTTTTTGTCGTGTTGCATGGTAGGCCAGTAATAACTCGCTCGCAAAGCTTTTCTGGCGAGGGATTTTCCCCTGAGGTGTTGGGCGTTGATTCCTTCATGGATTTTGCGCAGGATATGGGTGACCTTGGATTGTTCGACACATTTGAGGAGGGGATTGAGAATCCACGTTTGTACATTTTATTTTCGACCAAAACGTAAGAGCAAGCTCTGCGCCTGACCATGCTAGCCTATTTCTGGTCGAACGTCAGCTCCCCCTTCGTGAGGTAGTTGTATACTTGGGTCATCCAGCAGTCGTCGTTGTCGATAACGTTCACGTCGAGAGTCGTGGAGGATTTTTTGATGCTTGTTCGAGGAAGTATCTCTTGGATGACGAACTTGTTTCCTCCTTTCCTCTTCGTGCTTGCAAGTTTTGACGGAATATCTGCTCGGGTGTTGTGTTCGCGGGGAACGTGTTTTACTTCCACGGACCAAATTTTGTTATTCTTTCTTGGACCAGGGTCAAGTATTCAGAGAAATTATAGTTTTTACTTAATATTCTCCCCGGGCCTGAGAAGCGACGAGTTAGGAGTTGGTGAAGATTTTCACCTCCTCGTCCCCTAAGTCTTCGGCCAAACGCAGCCCTGCGAGGAAAGCTTTGTACTTTACGTGGTTATTGAAGGTTGGGAAAGATAAGGTGAGGGAGACTTCAATCAGGATTCCTTCCTCATTCTCCAAGATGATGCCCGCTCCGCTCCCTGTTGAGCTGGAAGCTCCGTCCATGAAGATGGTCCATTTGTGTGCCCCGCTTGTCGAGGAAGCTGGTGAGGTCATTTCTGCCACGGAGTCGGATAGTACTTTGGCTTTAAGGGCCTTTCTTCTCTCGTATTGTATGTTGAACACAGATAGTTCTAACGAAAATTTGAGCATCCGACCCTCCATGTTCGGACGACCGAGTAGCTGTTTCACGGATTGTTCCTTCTGTACCACGATAGTATGGGCTAGGAAGTGATATCTTAACCTCCTCTCCGGTTGATGAGGGCCAGGGCTACTTTTTTGATTTGTTGATATCTAAGTTCTGGATCTTGTAAGGCCTTGCTCGTAAAGTATATGGTTTCTTCCCCTCAGGGGTTTTCCGAATGAGGGTCGTGCTGATGGCCTCGGCTGTGACGGTGAGATAAAGGTAGAGATTTTCTCCATTTTTTGGTCGCGAGAGGACCGGTGGTTGTGAAAGTGGTTGTTTGAGGATGATGAGGGCTAGTTTGCACTCTTCGGTCTACTCAAATGCTGTCTCTTTGCGAAGAAGTTTGAAAAGTGGATGTATGTGTTGGGCATACTTCACTATTAAACGGGACAACAAGGTGAGCATCTTGTTTAAGGATTGGATGGATTTTTTCGAGTTCGGCATTGGGAATTCTGAAAAGGCTCTACAATTATCGGGATTCGCTTCGATTCCTTGTTATGTCAGATAGAAGTCGAGGAACTTACCTGCTCGTACCCCAAAGTTGCACTCCTCTGGATTGAAGTGCATTTTGCATTTCCTCGCCTGGTCGAAGACTCTTTTTAAGATTAAAGTGTGATTGTATTCCTCTTGGGATTTCACGATCATGTCGTCCATGTAAACTTCGAGCCCATCTCTAATCTCTTCTCGGAATACTTTTTTCATCATTCTTTGGTATGTAGCACCGAAATTTTTCAAGCCAAAGGGCATTATGTTATAGCAGTAGTTGCCTGACTCGGTCATGAAGGCCGTGTATGTTTTGTCACTCATTTGTCACGGGGATTTGATTGTACCCAGAATACACATCCATAAAGGATAGCAATTTAAACTCTATAGAATTATCAACTAGTCTATCTATGTTAGGCAAAGGATAAGCATCTTTGGGGAAAGCCTTATTAAGATCAATAAAGTCAACATACATTCTCCATTTTCCATTTGATTTTTTATGAGTACAACATTTGACAGCCAATTTGTGTATTGGGCTTCGCATATAAAATTTGCCTCTATGAGAGGTATTTTATAGTTTTCTCAGCAACTTCTGTTTTTTCGGGAGACTGCTTGTGGCTACATTAGGCTACAACCTTAAGGGCAGGATCTATAGTTAGCTGGTGACAGGCCACCTCGAGATCTAACTCAGGCATCTTTGTAGCACTCTGTAATACGGTGGGAGAACTGACTTGGGTGTTTTGCATTTTATTGCAAATGTTGCGAATAACAATAGTCGCCATCGACTTTTCTTTTATCAAATAAAGGAAAGGGTGAAAAGAACAGGAAAGACCTTTTGAGATATTTTCTTGAGTTCAGGGGGTAAGTTATGAAAAGGGAAGGTGTTAACACCCTTTTCATCCGTAGTTATCTACGGGCTCTTAGTTGCTTGATCACTTTAAAAATGCTTTGTTTAAAATGTGTTTGTGATTGGTGTAAGTTTGAAAATATTTTGAAAACGCCTTAGTTGCGGCAAATTTTATAATGATTCTTGTATCTGAACTGCATCTATAGGAGAGTCTGGAATGTTGTGGGAGTTCGTTGGGAGAAGATCAAACTTCTTTTATCCGCTAATGAGTTTGACTATGTCATCAGCTGGAGGATGCCCCACTTTTGTTTGAAGATGCTTCTACGCTTGTCGGGGATAGCTTTGTAGAGGTGGCTTTGGTGACTTCATTGGGGATCACCTTATGAAAGGGATTTTGTAGGGATTTGTCACTGTCCATAGTAGTAAGTGTTGTAGCACTGTCAAAAAATATTTTTTGGGCCGTACGTGACCCTTTATTTGAAATCATGTTCAATGCCCTAAGTGATTTCGATATAGACCTGCCCTGGCTATTCAGGACTTTATGAGAGATTTCTTGGATTTTTGACTTGACTTCCACAGGTGAGTCGGGAAATAACATGTCATGCCCCTTGACTATGGAGGGTTTGCCATTGGATTTTCGTTCATTGGATATTTTCTGTGTGAATTTCTTCGTTGTCAAACAATCAGCTATATGCAAACAACAGTATTCAAATAATGCAAAGTTTATGTCTATCTCGAAGTTTTGAAAATGCATTTTTAGCAAATAAAAGAATTTTGTAAGAATATGAATTTGACTCAGGATTTACCGTAAGCCTTACAGGAGTCAGGATACCTTTTGTAACAGTATGCTTTCGAACTAACCCATGCTTCAATAATAACTTTTAAGGGGTTGTAACATGGCCTGGTTCATGGTTTAAGAAGCAAAGGATAAGGCTTAAAGTTTATTGGTACCCAACCCGTTCTCCATGATGTTCTCCGGTCCTAAACTCAGTTAATTGTGCGTTTGAACTCCTATTGAATCTGGAATGATATTTTGGTGATGGTTCGGATACTTGGAAGTTTATTTGAGAAGGCGGTCATTTTTGTAACATTTTTCATGTTGTCGAGGATTTGTAGTGACCTCCTTTTTCTTGATCTATTATCCCTAATTTTTCCTGACTATTTTTGTTCTGAGATTACAGCCAGCGGGATGCCCCAGTTTTCCTTAAGTCTCCTTCATAGGTTTTGACTCAGTGGGCTTTTCCTTTGAGAGATAATGACTGCCTATTTTACGAAGAACCATCG